TCACCATTTTTATTACTTTGCATATCTATCAGATCAACTTGTACACGAGAATTAAAAGTTTTAGATATAATTGATTTTATTACTAAACCTTTTTTGGGATGCGCGTGTTTTTTATTACATATTTCATATTACTGTATCTAAATATAATAATATTATATCCCTGGTAATATATTTATATTTTTGTTTTATTGAATGCTGTATTCGGTTTCGACCACCATGACCACAATTTATATGAGCCATGTGCAATATGTCAAACATTTCATTGCATTTTACAAAATAAATAATGTCACCATTGGTTTTACTTGGTGAAACTATTAATTTTTTAGACTCACCGATTGTGAGTACGTCAAATCTATTTAATCTTCTGTATTCGCTCATTATTTTCTTTGAATTGACTTTTGCTTATTCTACCTCTTTTATGAGTTCATCGTATCTTATTAGAGCATTATATTCACTTTTTGTAATTTCATTAAGTTTTAATTCAAATTTAGTTTTAAAATCAGACACACACGTTTCGTTAACCATTGCTAAAGATGAACTAATATAAGCTCACAAAAATACTAGTTTATATAGTATCAGTACAATATTGTACCATTTAGATAAGGTGTATTTTGTGTACCTTTAATATAACGAGTTGATAAAATACAATATCAATGATAAATTAACAAGATACGCGTGGTCATCTATAATCGTAATAAAATCGTATTTAATGTAAGCAAACATATTTAAGACTACGGTTTTGCCTTTACAATAAAAGTCAGTACCTATACGGTTTTGCCCAAATGAGGTTGGTCATAACTAGGTTTGCCCGGTCAAAAGCCGAAATACGACATTTTGCCCAAGGATTGTGAGCAGTTCGCGTTTTGCTTGGGCATTTCTGAGGTTTACCCGATTTCGACTTTTGCCCGTAATATATATATCGGCGTCGATTGTCTAGAACATTCTCGAAATTACCTTAACGAGATAATCATCGTATATTCTAGAACATGGATTTCCCCTTATCCACTAACAATATAGTAAACAACTTGGACGATTCGCGGTGCGTTGTTTACGTCACCACATAGTTATATTTATATTAAAAATGATTTGTTAAAATATAACAACATAAATAAAAACTATTGAACAATTTATTAAACTTTGTTTAATCATAGTATAACAAAAACAACAAAAAAAACAAATTTATCAAGTAGATAGCTACTACTGTAGTATATCTAACCAAACAAAAATTATCAATATTTCAGTTCATGCATTTTAAAACTAAATAAAATAAATAGGTAATACCTTACGTAGTTTCTAAAAATATACACAAGTATTTAGAATACTTAGATGCTCTAAATGTAAATAATATGAATTTTATAATAACTATATTGGTGTCAACATCATATGCTGAAATGCGCAGTTTTACCCGAAATCGAATACGCCATCTTACCCCAATATACTTTTCATTGTTAAAAAAATTGTATAAAAATAAGCATTCGTGTTATCAGAACATAATACATAATAAATAATAGCCAATATAGTGTAGAAATGGTAAAAAAAAATCCTATATAAATAACTTTTCCAGTGTGAATAACTAATTTTATTCTATCTAAATATTACATCAAAAAGTAAAAAATTAAAAGTTATCTCATTTCGTGCTGTTGTTCAAGTAAATCTCGTTTTTTTTTTTTGTGTTACTGATAAAAATAGTTGGTATATTTGATAAACACTAAACACTATGTCCATAATTAAAAATCTTAATAATTTATTGATAATAGTTTATCTTACCCCATGAGTAATCTTACCTCAGGTTACTCTAGTGCACAACCGTTATTGCCGCAATTGTTTTTACAACAGCATCATAATTTAATAGTACACTGCAATAACCATGTGTACTTTGATGCATCTACAATATTCAATACCGCGTATGAATTATATACAGGTACCTACACATCAGTGACGTCCAATGCTATATTGAGGTCGGGGCTTGTTCCAATAGCTTTTAAAAATGTATAGGACTACTTCATATTGAGCCAAAGTTTGGCTAACCTTTTTTTTTTTATTATTAAAATCGACAATACACCCGCCACCTGGAAATACCGTTAAGCAATGCTTCAGGTGGCGGGTCATCATTTTTATAGAAGGAACACACATGGAGTTTAGGGTGTCTGCGGGACAATCCCCCGCAGACAGCCCCTCACAATCTTATGTACAGTTGGATGGGGCACCACGATCAAAGACTGGCGAGGCATGTCAGCTATCCCCAGTTGAGCTTGTATTTCACGCTCTGCGTTTTCCTTGGTGGCCATCACGTCTGCCGCGAATTAGGTAACCCAGTGGCGTACGCAGAATTCTTTAATGGGGGGTTACCATATTTTATGTACATATAAAAAAAAAATGTTCATACAATTGTATTCTTTTTATATTTAAAGACATGCACAATTAAATTTTTTAAAAATGTATATTTTATGATCTAAAAACACTAACCTATTAATTTATAACTAGAGACATTGAAAACTTGACAAAATTTGTTTATGATCTAACAAACGGCTTTGAATTTGGGTAATAAAAAAATCTAAAAATGGAATGAATATTGAAAGTTAAATTGAAATTTTAAATTTCGTTTTCCACTAGTAGGAAATTCATAAGATTTATCTGGGTACCATAATGCTTTAAATATAGATAACTTCGACTCATCTGACGTATGTGTTCGTTTAAAATAATTAGCAATATCATTAACATTCATACTTAGTTTACTAACCGGGCTTTTTTCTTTATTGTTCTCAACGGGTGTTACAGAATTTGAAGTATTAGATTCGTCTTCGTCTTCACTCGTTTCCTTTTTTTTTTTGAAAAACATCGTTAGAGTAGTGTTATTTAATTTTCTTTTCTTATCACTCATATTGAATAAAAAAATAAATTAAAAAAATGTATCACATTTAAAATAATCAATAAATGTATTACGTTCAAAATATTAAATAATTATATAAATATTAAATACAAAAATATTGAACACAGAACGAGAGTTCAAAATAAAATGAAATTTTATTTTAGATATATTTAGAATATTATTTTATTAGAGCGAATATTCACGTTGATTAGAGGCATTAGTGTAATCGACTAGTACCTAATCGTCGATCGGTTATTTGTAGATTAGTTTAGTTGGTATATAATATTTATCATTATGTCAAATCTCATGATTCAAAGTAGATAGCAACGATATTACGATAACAAAATATTACCTATTATACACATTACACGCGCACGTATATCTGTGTATGAACTTAGTGCTTTCCTCATAAACAATCATGTAATAAAATGTAACATGGAATGATAGCAATTATTTTTCGACAAAAATAATTATTAATGCGTTATCGCGGCCAGACTAGACCGATTTACGGAACTTTTTAAAACCACCGGGAAGAGACCGACCGACAAAACGCGTAACATGATCCTAGCCTAAATTCCATAAAAAAATCATTATTCGTATTTCACTTGGGGGGAGGGGTTAAACCCCTAAACCCCCCCCCCCCCCCCCCCCCCCGTCGGTACGCCACTGAGGTAACCGCAGTCCAGTTAGAATGGGGTCTCCAGCATTAAAGGAATAAAATGAAAAAAAAATGGCCAGATAATCTGAACGAGACGCTCCCTGTCATGCTTAAACACTTCGCAGCTCATGAGAGTATGAAACGCATTGACCCCTTTCTCAGCGTAACCATCAGATGGTCCACAATGCGAGCACCCGACTGACACAGCATGGTTGATTGTGTGGAGAAACCAGTTGAAGTAACCGTGCCTCGTCATGAGGCGGATGATCATTTGTCCGTGCTTCCTGTTCACTCTAACCAGCTGTCCATAGGCAAGTTTGATTAATCTAACCGTATGAAAGCTTCATTATAAATGTATAGCTTATATTAATATATTTTGGGTAAAAACTATTATTCCCTCCTCCCCCGATATAACATTGGGACCAATATTTAAATATATGGCCTTTTTAAATATTTTTGCCACACTGAATTGTTAAAACTTTGAAGCCATTGTTTCATCACATAATTCCTAAACATTTAGATCATGAAAATAATTTACTTCAATTTTGCTATACACATTTTCACATACATTTTACGGAAATTATATAATATATAAGATAACTTAGACAATAGAAGTATCAACAATTATTAAAGTAATTAGATTGTTATAGTACTATGCTACAATACCTCAATTTACTGAGAAGTACTGTATATCTGATAAGTACTAAAAAATTTTGAATTTGAGGAAAAATAAAGATGGTATTATTTTTATGTATAACAAAAACATCTATCGTGTAAGAACTTAGAAGTTGAATAATAACCAAGTAATTTATTGATTCACAATAATTGCCTTTTAAAAATAATATAAATGCAAAGAGGATTATTATTAATTTAGATAAGATTCTAAATAGACAAACACTAAATCAAAACATTTGTGAGAATACAAATTTTAATATTGCCAACAAACCAGTTTATAATCTTATTAACAACTCAGATTATACTAATATAGTACCAACTAAAAACATTTAACAGTAACAGAACTTGTATAAACTTTTGAAAACATCATGCTTTAATTCTTTAAATATTAATTTTCTAATCTAATACCTAATAAAATAGTTTAACCTACACAAATTAATTAATTCATTGACAAATAATATTAAATTAGTTTTTATAAGTATAAGGTTAAATGAAAATTATACAAAATTGACTAAATTATATTTAAACTAGAATTATTAAATGTTGACTCACATTATAAAATATAAATTAATTTAATAATATATAATTTGTTTATAATTCATAATTTGCATGTTAAATTAATAGTGTAAAAATGTTACTGAATACTCTTGTGTACAATATTATGGGCATATATTTTTAACAGTATTTCTTTAAACAGTATCTTAAAATGTATACATAGGTACCTAAGTTCAACTTAATTACAGTAAATAATTTTATAATATAAAAATACACGCTGAGAAAATGTTTAATAGTGAAATTAATTGCATTAAAATTTTATTTTAAAAACATTATGGTAAAAATTCCATCTCTCTCTCAATTCCAACAAATTTAAGTTGTTCAGTTGGTCCATATCTAAAACATATAAAATATATTATATAAACATTTAACACACGTAAATATTTATAAAAAGTATAAATTGATTAATAACCTGTAGTCAAAAAATAGTTCTTCACCAGGCTGTATGGGACGTTTTGCAAAAATACCAATACGATGATCACCATTAACCATCATAACTTTAGCATAACAATTGGGATTTATAGAATGATTTGCAAATCTAATCTTATTACCTTTTCGTGTAGCATCAACGACAAAATCTAAAGATAAAAAAATCATGACACTAATAAAGCAGTTGATTAACAAACATGATACATTGAATTATTATTTTTTAATTATTTTCTTTACCATGGTTTAAATTGAATAAGAAACTACACATATATTTATCATATACTTTTCCACGTCTATCTGCTTCATCTTGAGTAATGATTTCTCCACAATACTCTGATATAAATTCATTTTTCTGAGCTGAATCTTTCAAAAATATACCCCAACCAGCAACATCTGAAGGTGCCATCAATAAATGTTTACCTAGAACACAAAATGGCAATTTGCCATGCATATGAAAATATTAAATGGAATTATTTAAATATTTTTAAATACTTACGAAGGCCTCTTTGAACACTGACGTTTTTACATGTAATATTATCTATTTTAAATTGATCTGCACCACAAGTTAAACATAAATCTGGATCACATTCACGAACTGCTAGATAACAAGGACATTGTTTTGTATTACACTGGGCACGACATCTACAACCTGGGAATCGATTTTGGCCTAAAATAAGAAAAACAATACATTAAAAAATATATATTGAAATACCATTTAAAATTATTTAGTACTTACAATCTGAACTGCACTTGCAGAATTTTTCACAGAAATTTTGTGCCATTACACACGGACATGTTGCATCACATCCTTGATTTGGTGGATGAGAACAAGGGGTATAATTATATAAGTGATTTGAAGCTGAATCTCTTTTTAACTGTACTTTACGACAATGTGTTTGCCACAAACGTAACTTTTTCTTTTTTTTTCTTGGAGGAGTTAATTCACTAATTGCCTCTTCAACAGTAACATCATCATTTTCATTTTGTGCAAATTCATAAACTTGCTGGCAAGATTTTGTTAACATCATCTGAGCAATGGCACAATAATTATTCAAAAACGTACGACGAAGTGCACGGAAAATCGATTGGTCAGATCCAGTCCAAACTTTTTTATCTTCAGTACTCATGCGTGGTAGTAAAGAAAATGATGTTTTCGTTGACAATGGATCTTCCATATCTAATTCACCATCTGTCAAATAGTAAATTATTATTAAAAGTATTTAAAATTAATTTGGAATTTTCGTTAATTAACAATTTATACCTTTACTACTATCTCTGCTATCTTCAGAACTAGCATCATTTCCCCAATCTGAACTATCTTTTTTTAACAATTTAACATTGCCTACTGGTTTATCACTATTTTCATTTTGAGGTGACAACTCTTTAATGTTATTGGAAATAGTCGTTGATTCCTCATCTATATCTGCTTGTTTTTGTTTTTCTGCTTTGATTTCAGCAATAGCAGCTAATTTTTCTTTCATTCCATCCTAATTAAAAAAAATTAACTTTTAATCTTAATTATCAAAACGTTGTAAGTACTTACAAGTAACATGTAACAATCTTGACTACAATGAGTTGAAAATGGTTTTAATAAAGGCCCTTTTAGACCTATTGGTAAATTAGTGCCTGAATCATGTTCTTTGAGTTCTATTCATCAAAATATAATTAAATTAATAGAATTAACCAGGGAATTAACTTTAAAATAAAGTAAAGATAGTAAACATACTATGTAAAAAGCAGTCATATTTGTAACACCTCCTACAAAACAAATTTAAAAATGAATGTATAGTTTGTTCTTTTGGAACAGATTCAGCTTTAGGTCCATCAATATTTGGAGTACATTGAGATGGCTGAGCATTAGGATCAACACAAGAAGTTAATTCAATATACCTGAAAAAGAATAATATAAAAATTGTAAAAGGTTATACATTAATCAAAAAAAAAATAATACACCAAATTGTATGTTAAATTTAAGTTTACTATTTACTTTTCTCTGAATTCTTCAGGAGTTCCTTTATCAGGAAATGCAGCCGACATGGCTTCAAATATAGCCAAACTAGGAAAAGGTCTATCATCTTTACTATTTTTTAGTGCCATTTTAGGAGTCGACAAACCTTGCTCTTTATCTTCTTCTTGCTAAAAATGTATGGATTTATTAAATATATAACCATAAATTAAGTATATTGAATTTACCTGAAACGGTACAAGAGCATAAACTAAATCAATAAACACTTGATCATCTAAAAAATTTGCAGCATCATCATCATGAACTTTGTTATCATAATTTTTTAATAGTTCTTCAATAAAAGAACCATCTTGATCAAGGACCTCATCGCCCATGTAAGGAATATTATGTAAAACAGTTTCATCATCCACCTAGAAATAAAAAAGGTAATAAATATTAAAATAAACTTATCATAATATTCTTACATGTTAAAAATTGTTGTTACCATGAAGTTTGCCTGTATTGGTGCCCAGATATACATAGTAGGTATAGGAGCTACAGCATTAATTATTTTAATCGGAACACTCATAACATCTTCACCCACACCATCTACTTTGGTTACTTCCGATCGTTTAGACCTTGAAACTGTTTCTACGTGTGGTCGGCATTCCCAAATAGCTTTTTTTGACTGCAATCGTTTAAGTTCTTCAGCTTTTTTTTCTATAGAACAGAAGAGCACCAGACATTATGACTAAATACCAAATCTATTAGAAATCAAAACGTACCATAGAGTTTCTTCTGATTATTCATAGAGGCCAATATATTGTCATCATCTTTCTTGGTTTTTTTCGCTTGCAATAACCTGAAATACTCGGCTTTCACTCGTTTCTTCCAATCGGCGTTGTTCTTGGCCTTTTTTTCGGACATTTCGTCAGCAGCGAAGGATATCACCGGTACACACCAGAACTCGGGGTAACGCGGTACAAGATCAAACGCGCAAAAACATGAAATGCATGAAGAGACAACCGTAAACCGCAAGTTCGAAGCGGTAAAACAAGTTATTTACCTCTTCACGCTCAAGTACCGTCAAGCGATGATCGTACTACGAATTAAGTGCAATCACTGAGCCACCAGGCGTGCAACAATGCTTTTATGCCTATAGAATAGAATTGAAAAAACGAGTAGTCGGCCGACGGGCGAGACGGAAACTTTACGACGATCGACTATGGTAATGTAATTAATGCACAATCGTGTAAACAAACAATTTTTTTTTTTTTCAAAAGTCGTTTCCTTCCGTTTTACTATGTTATTTATCAGCGCACAACGTCTCTGACCGAGTCGCGTTTACAATGTCACCGACATCGACGCGAGTCAACAGATTGACCATAACCTCCAAATCAATAGTCTACAGGCGGGACGGGAATCGCTCAACCCCGTCCGTCCTTAGTCTACAACAATTGCTCGAAAATGTTCGAATTCAAACGGTTTTTCTCAATCGTTAAAACTTGATGTCAATTACTACCATGTTTTTGTGACGTGTGAAATTCGTCCGAACGAACAACAACGCAGTTGTTTGTTGCTGCGAGAAAATTATATCGCCGTACGACGTTCGATCGCAATAATACGGCGGTAACTCCCTTGATGTAAAGGAAAATGAAAGAATGGATTAGAAATCCGGAAAAGTTTTCTTGGTGCGAACTGCACGAGGACCGAGCCTTATATTTGGTTGTATGGAAAAACCGATATAGTCCGGCCGCCAAGACTGTCACAAAGGGCCGTCTTGGGAGGGTGTGTCTCGCCACCCTAACGAAAACACCAGTCGGCAGATTTTACTTACGGAAAACAAATATTACATATCTCGTAATACAGTTTATACACGAATAAAACTTATATAACTACTTATTATACAATATAAAATATTATTATATATATATATATATATATATATATATATAATTAAATTGTCAATTTTAAGAACGTGCAACACTGAAACATATACACATGTTAAAAAGTAAAAATACAACTACATATAGTTAATTATTCTACATACATTGAGTAAAAAAATTATAGTTAGCACTTTTTGATTTTCATCTTCGGAACGGCCCTGCTGTCACCTTGATCGTCATTAAACATCACGGGACGTCCGTAAAGGAACGCGGCCCCCCTGTAGTATTGACTTATTGACTTTTCAATCTATAATAATTTTTAAATTCTTTATTGTTTCACCTAGGTTTTCTAATTCTTCCAAATATCCCCCCTAATTACAAATTTATTCAATATTCTGTAAAGCAGCGTTTCCCAATAACGTCGCTGTTCGTAATTTAATAACAAGAAAAATATTTTATTAATCAACATATAATTATGTTCATCAGATTTCAGTTTTTGTAATATTGCTTTAAAGTATAGGATAAAATTCCTAATAATAAAAAAATTATAAAAATAACTAGCAACCCGGCCCGGCTCCGCACGGGTGCAATGCTGATACTGAATACTACAGAATGTCTTTATATACAACGTTCACAGTTATTATGTCATTAACCATGTTTTCTTTAGAGGTTATTCTTAAAAGAGCGACATATATATTGACCATGTGAAAAACACTCAACTCTCATATCTAAGCCTGCAACGTTGAAAGTTTGACCCTGGGATTTATTAATAATCATTGCAAAAGATATCTTTACCGGGAATTGTAGGCGTTTAAATTGGAACGGTATATCCGTTGGTATCAGAGGAATTCGGGAAATCAATACATATTCTCCGGTATCACATCCGGTAAGTATTGTACACTCTATTATGAAAGTTTTTAGTGATTTTACCAGGAAACTAGTGCCATTTCAAAGTTTAAGTGGATTCATTGAGGATATTGCTCCTTAGAAAGCTAAAATCTAAGGGTATGGATCTATTTTTTGGAATCCTCATCAGGGCACTCAGACCGACCCTGTGCAGTGGCGTAATTTCAGTTATTTCAAGAGTTGGGCAGTTGATAGGCTCTTATTAAATTATCGTATCAATGGCTAATTTTACCAAAGTACAGTCGACTCTCGATAATTCGAAATTGACGGGACTGCTAAAAAACTTCGAATTACCGAGAGTTCGAATTGTTGAGTAGTTCGAAATAACGAGAGGGCAAAAAAAAAATTCGAATTATAGAGAGTTAAGAAAAATTTTTTTTTTTTATTATTGTACATACATACATACATATTAATTATTTCAGTAAAGTAGGTGATACGGCATATATATTAGAGTTATTTATTGTTAATATTAACATTTTTAATTATTTATTATTATTATAAAAGATTATTATTTTTTAAAGAAATCTGTTATGGTTTTCTGCTTCATTGAATTTAGTTTAATTTTTTCAATAGTATTTTCTATAGTAAATAAAGCATCAAAAACCTCAACAGTGACTTCTGACTGGAGCGAGAAATTTCGTAATTTTTCCAAGGATAAACTGGCTTCTTTTAAAGTCACAAGAGGTAGAGGACTTGTGTCATCTTCATTGTCTTCATCAATGCTTAATGTATTTTCCAAAATTTCGGCATCAGAGAAGACTCCCCATACAGCAACATCTTCATCTACATTGACATAATCAGTGAAAGATACATTTTCTTGAGTTGGCAGGGAATTCCATTGTATCGATTCAATATTTAACTGGTCGTTTTCTGTTTCTTGAATTTTTTTGGTAAATCCCGATTTTTTAAAACACTTGAGTATCGTAGAAGGAGCCACTTTTTTCCATGCCTTATCAATAAATATCATAGCAGTCAATACACTAATGTTTGGCGTTTGTTCACTTTCAATGCATTCCAAAACATTCTTTACAACTTCTTGACGGTAAAAAGTTTTACAATTCTTAATTATACCTTGGTCGAGTGGTTGCAACTTCGATGTGGTGTTAGGAGGAAAAAATTGAAGTTCTATATTAGTTAAAGGTGGGGGGTTATTATGAACTGTACAGTTGTCTAAAAACAGTAGAATTTTTCATTCCTGTTTTTTCATGTCTTCATTGAGTGAAAACAACCATTCATTAAATAATTCTGTCGTCATCCATGCCTTTTTATTTGAACAATAAGTTATAGGAAATGAACGTATGCCATTAAAACACCTAGGTTTGGCAGCTTTTCCTATGAGGAGTGGAGTTAACTTTTCGGAGCCGTCCATGTTTACTGCTAATAAAATCGTTAACCTGTCTTTACTATGTTTCCCGCCGTGGCATTTTTCTTCTTTAAAAGTGAAAGTTTTATCTGGTAAACATTTAAAAAATAGAGCGGTTTCATCTGTGTTGAACACGTTTCGTGGTTCGTAATTTTTTAACAAAGTTGAAAGTTTACAATGCCACTCTGAACACACGTTATTGTCAACACTAGAACTTTCTCCATAAATTTTTTTGAAAACAATACCGTTTCTTTTTTTAAAATTCGTTAACCATCCATCACTAGCTGAGAAAAACGGGATGCCCAACTCTTTGGCGAATGATTTTGCTTTTTCTTTGAGTAAGAGGCCACTTACAGGCACATTTTGCCCTCTGCATTGCCTAACCCATTGTACTAAACACTCTTCTAGTCTTGGTTCTTACCTTTACTGTTTCGTTTCCGACCACCGCTTGATGACGCAGTGATGATTTTATTTTTGTCCTTCAAAATCGTAGACAGTGTACTTAAAGGAATGTCAAATGTCTTAGCCACTTCGGTTTTTTTGTTACCTCTTTCAAGCGCTTCAATCAATTGTTTTTTTTCCGAAATCGTCAAAGATTTGTATTTTTCAGAATTAGACGCACTCATCACATGAACTTGACTTTACAACCGACCAAACGAAACTAAAATAAAACTACATTCGACTGACGGCTATCGACGACTCGACGAGTTAAATTACGATTAGAGACAATTGAGAAATAAAACGATAAGGTTCTTACAATAATATTCTATAGTTATCGACAGTAATAATCTAAATTTCTACACGATTGTATAGTATTTATTAATAAAAAGATTATAAGAATACAGATAAAATACATTTGGTGAATATACTTCGAATTTCCGAGCATTAAACGAATGATACTTCGAATTGTCAAGTGTTAGTGGCCAGTTTTCCCAAAATTTAATTTCGAATTACCAAGTGTACTTAAATGCATTGTTTTTGTTCGAATTACCGCGTGGTTTTCAAGGAACCGAGTATTTACTTCGAATTACCGAATGTTTCGAATTATCGAAGGTTTGAATTACCGAGAGTCGACTGTAATAGCAATTAACGTGAGAAAGAGGGACGTCAAATCAATCCAAAAATATAATGATTTAGTCTTTGTACATAAATACCCATATAGTAAGTACACCTTTCATTTTTCTAATGTATAAAACAGTGGCGCCGAACCCTATGTATATGTCAGGCCACGGCCTGACCACATTTTTAAAATGAGGCCGGAGATCAGAGAGACCGATCTATAGTTTGCAATATTCTGACCTATTCTCACGAGTAATGCTGGACGGACTCTGTCAGATTCGTACGTGTATGAACGGAACGGAAACGTTCAAATGTCAATTACCTAAATTAAAACATAATAAAATATTTTGAGGAACGGTGTCTGGCTAGTATGAATCGTGCTTAATACTTGTAATTTGCAGCACAAATTATTTTTCTATGCATCGTAAAAATGTAGGCTTGTGGCCGTTGGGGTGTTGAGACTGTTGTATTTTTATTTGGCCAGAGTAAAATTTTAGAAGTTTGGCGCTACTGGTACAAAATATCAATAGCTTTATAGTGTATGTATTTATATTTTGATGATATGCCAACTTTGGAATAGCTAACTCTAAACTATGGCAAATGCATGATTTCCACCCCCTTCTCCCATCAAATGACACCACTGTTTTTGTGCTCGTTTGATCGAAAGACCAATCACAAATAATAAAAATAAAATATTGCGTCCGATTTTTATTAGATCAAACTTATACGCCGTGGATCTTATACGTAGGCAATCCAATGTTGTACATGAACTATGAGCGCGGCGACGACGAAGGAACGGGAAACAAGTTATTTTTACGTACAGAAACCTGAGTGGCAATGGCGTGCCCAGAAAGTTGGCCCGGCCCTACTCTGTTTACAAATAGTTATTATTAATCTTTTTTACACCATTATTATTTACTTTTTAATATTTTTAAATATATATTAACAAATTTATACAGGAGGTATTGTATTATATTACATGATCATTTTTTTCTAATTTGATTTAAAAATGTAATGAAAAGTTTATCAAAAAAAAAAAAATAAATAAATAAATAATGTGTACCTATCTACATAAATTAAAATAATTATAACTGGGCCTGTTCAACATTTTTATCCTGGGCACGCCTCTAGAGGATGGTACAATTTAATTATGAGGGAAGAGGTCTCTGAGGTCAGATTCAGTATGATGCAATGATCACAGAGCTCACACACAAATCGAACGTATTTGTGTAAGCTAAACTTAAATTACGTGACAACTAAATGATGAATGGTAACTGATTAAAAGTTCTGGGCGATCTCAAACACATACAACCAGTGCCGACCCGACAGTTTTCGAGGCCCGGTGCAGAATTCTGCGGGGTCCCATGTATAAAAGTAAAACCATAGGGACCATATAACAGTGAACGACTATAGTTTCAAGAAAATCGAGGTATTTAAGTACCTAGATGTTAACGTAAATAGCAACAACGACAAGCATGAAGAAATCAACGATCGAATAGCATGCGGCAATCGATGCTATTATAGCATAATGAGACTTCTTAAATCAAAACTACTGTCACATAACTCAAAGACACTACTGTTTCATAGCTATTTACGATCGATAATCACATACGCGAGTGAAACATGGTCACTGACTAAAGGAGACAGCGAACGACTAATGATCTTCAAAAGAAAAGTACTGAGAAATATATACGGTTCAAAATTCAATGCAAAATCACAAACTTGCGAAAGGAAAAATCAAGAATTACAAGAGTTATATAACAGACCAAATATTATTTCATATATAAAAAGTAAATGACTAGATTGTTTGGAAAATGGATGGATAAGTAATAAAAGTTTTAGTCAACAAAATAAATAAAAAACGTCCATCCTAACCAAGGACCCGATGGATGGATGTTATAACTCAAGATATCAAAAATATAGAATAGTTATCTTTTGACGACGTTTATGATAAAAAGAAATGGAGAAGTTTTTTGAAGACAGCGTTGGCAATTAATGGACCGATAAGCTGAAGATGTATTTAAAAAACAAAAATAGCTTAAGAGAATACATTGAGGAGGACTTTATTAATCCATAGCAGTAGAAAGGGTTCACGTAAATTATTGTAATTTGCTGCCTATTTTTTGAAAGTTGTGACAATCATGTCTTCAGCCCCATCAGGAAGATCATTATAATTAAAATACTGGATAATATTTCAACATAAGAAAAACGCTGTCTAATGAGAATTTATATTAATAATTATTTTACCAATGACTAAATAAAAAAATTTTAACTTCAAAACGAAAAACCAGAAGTCATTCACTTGCTCCTAAAAAATGTTTTGGCTAAAACACTCATAAAATCGCTGAGAAGCCAACTTGCTATAAACTATTTCACCCCAGAATTGTTTTCTATATTTATGCATAATAATTACTAGTATTCAGTGGCGTAATTAGGAATTAGGTTTGGGGGGGAAGGATTATAGGTTTTAACAAAATCTGTACACCTCATACAGCAACCCCACCAGAACAAAATGTTTAATAATTTAAATTTTAATAATAATAATAATAACTATAGTAATCGTAATAATAATAATGATAATAACCATATTATCAAAATATAATAAAAAAAAAAAATTACATAAAAAGTTTTGGGAGGGGATCCGTCCCCCTAATCCCCCCTAATTACGCCCCTGCTAGTATTAGTATTTAATTCAAATTTTTCGGCTAATTTAAATTGGATCTTTTTTTGTTAAATTAACCTAATTTAAAATCTAAACAAACGAGCCTAACTAAATTAAACAACATCAGTTAAATCTGATCAATGTTTTTTTTTCACTTTGATTAATATTTTTAAATAGAAGTAAAAACAATATTTTTATTTTTTTATTTAATCAATTTGGAATAAATAATAAATAGTAAGTTCAACATTAATAAATTTAAATAAATAGTGAAATCAATAACAAGAAAGCATGACGTTACAATTATAGCCCTGACTAGAATCATACATTTAAGAAGACTGGGCAAATTTTTATTTAATTTGATATCTATAGTTTACACACATACTCAAGTTTATATTAGCGCAGACCAATAAACAGCATTGATTATAGAATAATTTATTTATAGAATAATTTATTCTATAATCAGTGGTAATAGGTCAAATTGTCTGTACACAACTCTTTTTTTAAAAACAATTAAGCTGCAGATTCTTTTAGCGGATTAAATAATTTCCGTTTTTATTTACAAAGCTATTATGAAACAAGAGTTGTAAACGATAAACTAAAATCGTTCTTAAAATGTTGATCAGTTTGGATTTAAAATATAATGTTTCGACGTAATATATCCCCAATAAATATAAATATTTTATATTAATAAAAATTAAGTTTAAATATGTTGAACAGTCTTACAAGACATTGTAAAATAAAATGTATCTACATTTATCTATAAGGCTTTTGTAGAAGTGCTTCAAAATAGATTGAAGAATAGAAAAATGAGATACAACATTAAAAACAAAAACAAACTTAGGTTCTATAAAACAATAATTTGTTAACAAATAACAATATATAATTCAAAAAAAAAGATGCAACAAACCACAATCAGAAATGTTTATATGTATTAACTTCCTGAATTAAAAACTGTAAATACAATAAATACAATAACTAAATACAATAGTCACATAATTTGTGGAAATGTATTGCAGTATCACATTTTTTAAATTTATTTTCAAACTGTAGAGTTGAAATATTATTATAATTTAATAAAGCATTATTAAAGTATTATAAACTTAAAGTTTTTTCGTCTCATCTGATTTAGGTGAACTTGTTGGTGGTAATGGTGGTATTTTTGATTCAGAAACTATTTTTGAATCAACAATTGGTGTTATAGTTTTTTTGACAGTTTCGGTAGACGTTGTTATTTTGGGCATTGGTATACCAGTTACATCATCTTTTTCCATTTGTTTTACTTTTTTAATTTTTTCTATTGTTTCCAGCTCTTCTTCTTTTATGACTAACTGTGTTATCATATCCATTTCTTTATTAGATAATTTAACATTTTCTGTGCCAATCAGCTCCAATACCTAAAATAGCATAAAATGTAAGTTTTGAACAAAAAAAATATAAATTATACAACTTACTTTTAATACAGTATCTAATCTTATTGAACCATCATGATCATTATCGATTTTACTAAGAACTTCACTAATTTGTTGTAGTTTGTCCTCATCAGGTATATTTTGTAATTTTCGTACAGCTTCAATAATTTCATCAATCTTGATTAATTCACTATAATAAAAATTAATATAATTAGTCAACCTCAGCATAAATAAAATTATATAATTTAAATAATTACCATTCATCAGTTAATTTTTTAGTTTCTAAATCTTGTTTTAATTTTTTTTCTTTTTCTGCCAATTTGTTGACTATCAGGTCCATATTCTTAATCATATTATTAACTTTCTTAAATAATTGTTTAGCTGCCTTAGATTCTCTAACTTGTTCTTTATTCTCAGTTTTCATAACTTCTTGAAGATCTTGTACATCCTAAAATAAACAAAAGAAAACAATTAAAATAATTAATGTAACCTATTAATATTTTATTCTTACCTCTTGATAATCTTTGAGTTCATCTTTTATATCTTGGATTTCTTCTTTTTTCACAGAATTTGAACTCAATGTTTCTAAAGCATTTTCTAATGTTTTGAAATCAGTTGATGTTACTTCCTATAAATATGTACAGAAATAAATAATAATAATGAATAATACTATAAAATAACAAACTGAACTAACTTCTTTTTTAATTCCAGTAGAGTCAGTTAGAATAGGTGCTTGATCAACCAATTCTTCTTTAGCAACAATAGGTTGCTCTTTAGGTTTCTTTTTGGCATCTTGAAGTTCCTTTTTCTTTTCTTCCCTACATTCAGCTATCTCTTCTTTCACCTTACGTTCTTCCTCCTTAATTGCTTCTAATTTAGCCTTATTGTCAATAGCACCATCACGCTCACTTATATCTGCTTTAGTTGAAACACCAACAGAATCAGGCAACGCAGAAATAGCTTTCTTTAATAAATCACTAGTTGGAATATTTTCTGTAAAGCTAAATGCTCTAGACAGAAGAAGTAATGAAGGAGGAACTTTTTCGTTTAAAGACAAGTTAAGCCATTGGGTGAGCTGTTGTCTCAGGCGTTTTTCAGTAAGACCATAAGCACGCATACCACGAGCTTTACATGCTTGTTGAAGTTCACTCAAAGTTAGAGAATCAACACCTTCTTTGTGAATCATCTAAACATTTAAAAATAATAATTAACCATTTAAAATAGTTTGAAATGAGATGAATTGTACCTTATCATCAATTGCTAAAGTACGAAGTTTAAGTGTTAGTTGAAATCTTAAAAAGTTTGAAGTTCCTATTGGACGCAGTTCCAATACACGACAAAGTGCAACCAGTTGTGGTCGAGGAAGTGAATCCAAAGTAATCTCATCTTTGAATAGTTTTGAAAACTTAAGCATTTCATCTGCTGGTATAACAACACCTTCTTGTCTAACCTAAGATAAAATTAATATTAAAATAAATGAAACAAAAATAATACAAATTGTTTTGAATACCTTTGCAAAAAATTCAGCAAATTCTTTAGCAGAATCACATGTATGTCCTTTACCAGATACAGACATATTATCTAAAGTTTCTTGAAGAAATTTCGCCATTTCTAGTTTTACCTTAAGAGATTTTTTGAGTTTTGCTTCCTATATAAAATTGAAAAATAAATAAACAATTAAAATATGAGGATAAAATGTTTAATTTACCTTATCATCCTTTGTTTCAAATGTAGTTGGTAGCATACCTGGAAATAACTTGATGAAAATAGGTAAAGCAAACTCTAGGAATGGTACAACCACAAATACAGAGAAAGGTAATAGACGGAAAAGATCAGCCACAGTTTGAACAAACTGTAACAATAATTAAAAAAGTTAAATAAGTTTTTTTTAATGCCTAATAAAATATATATAATTAGTTTATCAATTGATCATGTACATCTTATTAACATTTTGGTTTAATTTTAATGTATAAAACACCACAAAATCACAAATAAAATAAAAATCAATTTTTGGTTTGAATCAAATCTACGTACTGATTTTACAATATTATTCATTTTATATGAATAACTTTTTAAGTAGTTAAAACTATGATCCAAGACACAAAAAAATTTTTTTGAAACTATTATTTACATTGTATAGAATAATAAAGCTTGGATTTAATAAAATTTAAACCATCAAATATGCACTTAAAGAAAATCAAAAAAATCTTAAAATATGTCTTGTAAAATGATCTTAATATGAAAATATTTAAGAAATATAAATTATATAATTTTTTTTAGATTTTAAGGATTAATATAGGCAGCCACCTAATATAGCCTTATGGGTCTGCTCCCGATTCTAATGTATGTTAAAAAATCTAAAAGCCATTGCTTAAAATGGGCACTCAATTCGGTTTATAGAGACAGATTTTATTGACTATATATTACTACAACAAATCCTTCCACAAGTAAAAAAATTGCCATTTTAGACGAAGTAAAACGATCCGCCAGGTTCATCACAACGTAAAATCGCTAAACACTTGTGTTTCAAAATCGATAACCATAGAATTTCTCAAAGAAAACATGTTATGTGAAACCTTCAACTCAAACAAAATATGCAGTCAAAATGCAAAAGGAAAATATCCCGAAGTTGACGGTTAATTTAACCATCAGTATTCGTATATTTGAGCTCACATGTTAAAAGCAATAGTTGAAAAGTTGACCATAAGAGATATGAACACTTGAAATTTTGGAAAAAGGGCCCATCTTGTCGTTTTCCAACTTCAAACTTATTGTTCTCGAAATTACGTTTTTTACATTTTAAAATTCAAAGGTACGTACTGACTAAACTTTCAAACAATTAAGGTCGGATTTGGCTTAAATAAAAGGTAATTGCATATACCTGAGTAAGCTTAGCTTAATTCCATACTGACAATGTGGGTTTTTTTTTATATATGTACACATATATTGTACATGAAGTTATTAATGATCCTTATTTTGATTTTTAAATAAAAATATTACAATTTTAACATTATAAAATAAAAAATATTATGCAATATAATTTAACAATTTAAAACTAAAATGTATATTAACATGAAATAATAAAAGAAAAACGGTAAAAAAAATGCACGTAAACCCTAAAAGAGCACCTTTTACCCGCATGTGTAGTGCCTTGTTAAATGGGAAAATATGCAAAAAAAAATTTAAATATATGCTCTTAACAAGATACAATATATCTAATTCTACTATTTTTAACTCTGTGATATGTAAGTAAAATTAGGCAATACATATTGTCGGCCTGGCCATGGTCGCTAAACTGCGAATACGTCAGGGCCCCTGACCAAATTTGTATCGGGGCACTCCCATTTCTAAAAATTTAAAAATTCTTATAATAATCATTGTAATTGATATTTTGTATAGTTTTTATTACTGGCGACCTTTAGTGAACTAAAAAATTACAGTTATTAAAAAAGTAATTGTACAATTTGTATATCATTAAAAGAATATTAAGTTTTATATTTCGATATTATTTATATAACTTTGTGGACCATAAATAATTACGCTAATTATGTAGTTAACTTAATTGTTTGTATATTTTAAATAAGACACCATTAAAAAATTATAATATTTCGCACTATTTATAAGCACTTTTTTATCATTTTATGAGATGACATTTTTGAGGACCCTTTAAGCCGACACTAGTAATACACTGTCTTTAAAAAATATTTTGTACAAAATTTGAAAAATCATTTGATACAATTATAATAATTAAAATTTTATCAAGTTGAAATGAAAAGATATGGTAATGTAGTTACGCTACTTCATAATTTTCTTTTTTTTATATACCTACACAAAATAACTGATTTTACTAAATTTTGGCACAAGTGTCTAGTGTTTTAACTCAGGAAAAAACATTTGCCATTTATGGTACATTATTATTAGTGGTTTTATATAAATTCATTTTTAAAGTTAATTTAATGAATTGTATGTGATAAAATCAAAATTTATTTTTCTACCTTTATTGTTAAAATTAATAGGTATTATATGTGTGTATAATTAATTTTTTTAGTTTGGAAAATAATTTTTATTTATAAAAATAAATAGAACAAATTTACTATTATAATTATTTTTTTTATTATTAGTAATCTTACAATATTTTTATATTTATTAAATATAAAATAATAATATACAAATTATATAATCTAAGTAGGATAAAATAAAAGATGAATGTCAGCGCTGATCAGCGAAAGTTGGCATTTAAACAAGAAACACTGAACTGACACTATTGGCCAATGTTATTGGTTTAAACCCAATAAGAGAATATCAATTTAAGTCAAGGGCGTACTCAAGGGGGAGAGGAAGATTCGCGTCCGGACCCCCTCACATTGAAATTTCTACATACTAAATGGTTTAATAGTAAATAGTATAATACTATTATATATTGTATTTTAATTTCCCATTATCTTCAATATACAAAGTTTATAGATTATATAATATACCTATAATGTATAAACCATAACATATTAACCATAGTATATTAACAGTAATTTGTTGATATTGAGTTAAACTATAATTATAATTAGAGAACAGATAAAATAAAAATGTTTGACCCCCCCCCCCATAAAAAATTGATGGATACGCTTCTGATTTGAGTTAACAAACTGAATTTAAGTAAATATATCAGAAATTAGTTTAATAATAACTTGAAAATGGGCTTGATAATGATATCACATATTATGTAATTAAAGAATCATTTATATTAATTATTAAACAAATGTACAAAAAAAAAATATTTTTTTATAATTTTTAAAATTTAATTGTTATATGAAAATATGCATTTATGGGTTCAAAAATTATTTATTTAAATACAAACATATATTATTACCATACATATGTGTAAACTGTGGGGGGAGGTATAGAGAACAACAGCCACCTCTAAATATTTAACAGGGCAATGCCTCCCTTAGTATTTAGTAAATTTAAAATTATTGCAGAAAAGGATTTTTAGATTTTTAAGAATTATTTTATCAAGAAAAGTATAATTTTTTTAATTATTATTTATAAAAAAAAAATTATTGGATTAATCAAAATGTATTGATTATTAATTATTAAAACATAATTTGGTTCATTAGCATTTGCCATCACCATCATGATGCAGATTAAATATACCTAGTCTTTAATGTATATCAACATGAAATAAAATTTGCCCCCCGTAAAAATTGCCCAAGTTACGTTAATGTTATATATTGCACTAATGTAATTCTATAAGACTAGTTTTAACTGTTATTCGATGTAAGTGATACCAACTATAACTATATTATATTTATTAACAATTTACTTTGTATGTAATTATTTATTAGTTATTAATAATTTTATTTAAATTATCATTAATTTGAGAATTACTTAAATAATAATTTAAATTAGTTTTGATATTGATATATTATTTAGTATGATATACTATATGTACTATAAAACCAATTAATTTTTCAAAATTAAATATTGCCCAGTGTAGTAGTCCAGGGCCGCATTTAGGGGGGGGGGGCACTGGCTACAACTGCCCCGGGCGCCAGTTTTTCGGGGGCGCCAAAATGTTGTGGTCGGAAATTTGCTCACTTGTGAATTATTGAACTATTGAAATTATTATTTTTTTTGTTTTTAATAACAGTATCATAAGTTAATGTTGATGTATATAATTTATTGGTATATTCATAGCAATATAGCTATCAGCGATCCAGAATATTATTAATATACCTGATATTAGTTCTCAAATTTGTTGTGATAATATCAATAAACATAAGTGATTTATAATATTACGGCGTGTTATGTTATCGCATGCGGCGTGCGGTGGCGTGCTTGCTACACAGATGTAGCATTGATTTTAGAATATCTCAAAGGTTCATGAGGATTTATCTCCTTTTTTTTCGTGGGCAGGTACCTTAGAGGGGTGTCAATTTTTTTTTTTTTTTTGTTTTGCACCGGGGCGCAAAACGTCTAAGTACGGCACTGTAGAAGTCACAATATAATATCCTATTTTGTACTTAATGTATAACATATATTTATATAGACACTATTATATCAATACAAAAAGTATATTGATTACCCGTCACTAGTTGCGCGGGGTAAATAATCACCCGACGTATTAATGAATCCACAAAAAAGTACTTCGGAGAAGTAAAAAAAGCTTTCTGTGCGTAAGTTGAAGCGATTGGGAGAAAATATAAAATTTCGATGTCAATAAATAAATTAAATCAATATTAAAATTCTGTGCCAAAAAGGCACATTATTGAAAAAGTTCCTGAATTTTGAGGTTAACAAAGAAGTGAAATCAATCCCAATAGTCCGTGTCTCAACTTAAAAAAATATCAATTCACGAAAATTTCAAATTATTCAACTGCGAAAAACATTGAAAAAAAAATAGCACAAAATAGGGTATAATAAATCGGAGTTTACGAGTTAATCTGCTAGACTAAAATTGTTGTTGACAATCTATAATTAACGCCATCAAGTCTATTTTTAACGTCCAATGACAATAAATATTAATGAACAACGATCATTCAACAAAAAATTTGTATAATAATTATAAGTGGTTAGAGTATAGATGGGATTTTTAACTCAGTGACACGAATTAGTTCACTTAAATGAGTTGACTCACTAAGTCAACCACAACCAGTGGCGTGTTTGAAGGGGGGGGAGATGAGGGCAATCCCTCCTTGAGAATTTTTAGGCCAAGACAATTTTTATATAAGTAATGGGTATTTTATTAAGAAAAAAAATTATGATTTATTTTATAGTATTAATACATTTGAAAAAGTTTCAAATTTTACACTAATTTAAATAACGCAAAATGCTAAATTTTATATAACGTTTTAATTG